CCATACTTACTCAATCTGTATGCTGAGCAAATATTCCAAGAAGCTGGACTGCATGAAGCAGCAGCATCAGGCCATGTGCAGATGACACAACCTTACTGGAAGTGAAGAGGACTTGAAGCACTTACTAATGAAGGTCAAAGATGACTGCCTTCAGTATGGAGTACATATCAATGTAAAGAAAACAAAAATCCTCACAACTGGACCAGTAAGCAATAAATTTATCAATTTATCATGATAAATGGAGAATATATTAAAGTTTTCAAGGATTTCATTTTACTTGGATCCACCATTAAGTAACACCCATCGAAGCAGCAGTTAAGAAATGAAATGATGTAATGCATCAGACCACTATGCTGCTAAAGACCTTTTTCAAGTGTTAAAATACAAAGATGTCCCTTTGAGGACTGAGATGTGTCTGACCCGAGCAATGGTATTTTCAACCACTTCATATGCATACAAGCTGGACAATGAATAAAGACCAAAGAATTGATGCCTTTGAATTATGGTGTTGGTGAATAATATTGGATATAACATGGACTGCCAGAAGAACAAACAAATCTGTCTTGGAAGTATAGCAAGAATGCTCCTTAGAAGCAAAGACGGCAAGGTTTCATCTCACGTACTTTGGACATCTTATCAGGAGGCACCAGTCCCTGGAGAAGGACATCATACTTGTTATAGCAGAGTCAGTAAAAAAGAGAGCGACCTTCAAAGAGATGGACAGACACAGTGGTTGCAACAATGGGCTCAAACAGCAATGACTATGAGGATGGCATAGGACCGGGCAGTGTTTCATTCTGTTGTGCACAGTATCGGTATCAATCAGATTCTATTTGACAGCACCTAACGGCAACAAAAACAGTGGAAATAAGGTTTGATAATTGTTCCTCTACTTTTGTCACATTACTACTCCTGATCTAAGCACTCGTTGGTGGCTTGAGACGTGCAGAATTACCTAGCCTTTCCTGAACACACTGGATCTTACTCCCTCTGGGGTACATACATGGGGAACATACTCTCCCTTGACACAATATTATCACTGAATTATCATTCACTGGAGCAATGTATTTCTCTTCACCAGAGTCTTGGCTAAGAGTGCACTGAAATTTCTATTTGTAAGAGCCTTTTTAATTAGGAGATTCATTTCTGTGGGGTTGGCTATGAAGCGGACACTGTGGCTGATCAGGTTATCCTGGGAAGTTGGCAGGTGCAGTTTGCTTTAGAATTTCTTCAAAGTGAGACTTCCTCAAAGAGCAGAGTATAATCACCTTGGGTTAGCATAGTCCTGTGTTGCATCAGAGCTCCTGAATCATGCAATGAAGGGGATAGTGAAGATGCCTTTGCCCAAGAGAAGGGCTATATTCCTGACACAGCACAGAAGGCACTTTCTAAATTCCTGCAGTCACCACATGTGCTGCCAGCCCTGTGAGAGGGCAGCAAAGTCAGCACTGGCTCCCTCCAATTAGAGTGAAGTGGGTCCAGGCTTGGGCATGGCTTGCAGCTGTCTGTATTTCTGTCTTCCTGCTATTTGTCATCCAGACTGCAGTTATCACTGGCCCTCAGAATGTTGAGTCTTTTCCCTGAGGATAAAAACAGTGCAAGTTTGCCCAAACCCACTGCCAGAGTCAATTCCAATTCATAGTGACCCTATAGGATAGAGTAAAACTGCTCCATAGGGTTTCCAATGCTGTAAATCTTTACAGAAGCAGACTGTCTTATCTTTCTGCTGCAGAGCAGCTGGTGAGTTTGAACCGCTAACCTTTGGTTAGCAGCTGAATGCAGTAACCACTGTGCCATCAGAGTTCCTTTACAAGTTTGCCAGGTCACAAAAATGTCCTTGGGTCAAGTATCTGGACTTCTGCAAGACACGGCCTTTCTGCTGAGGTGCTTCTCTAACAATCCAGTTCTCTTACTCCTGCAGCAGGTGCTTTCCGGGGTGCTTTCAGTTAAGGTCATTGAATGAAGTGGGCCAGGTGGGGCCTCCAGCCACATCATGCTCTCCTGCACTGTAAAGTACCTGGTTTCTACATCTCTTAACTTTTAAAGAAATAGCAAAGAACTATATTTTTATATAAAATCATGTAAATTTAAAAATGTTTATGATTCTTTTTCATCATCTTTTAAAAATACCATGCAGGCAAATTTGAGCATATCTGAGGACAACACCCTACATACAACACTTCCTGCCAGCTTACCATCTCTATTCTAGAGAAGAAAAAGGTTAGCCAGTTCATAGGATCCTGAGTACCAAGTGATAGCTCTCTGAAAGAAAAGGCTCCCTGCCAGTCTCTCCCCTCTCCATGTGTTTATCAGCTTGGAACAAATCAGAGTGGTGGTTCACAGGCTTGGTAAGAGGTACAAAAGTGCTAGTAGCAGTTAATGACAAGGCTAAGAGGCAATTAGACTGCAATGAGCTATAACACCCTCTCTAGTGGGTGCCTGTAGGTATGCTCTGGCCTCTGTCTTTTCGTTGTTGTATGCTGTTGAGCTGATTCCAACACACAAAGACTATTCAGGACAGAGTACAACTGCTCTACGGACGTTTCCAAGGCTAAGTCTGTATAGAAGCAGACTGCGACATCATTCTCCGCAGAGTGGTTGGTGAGTTTGAACCATCGACCTTTCAGTTAGCAGCCAAGAGCTTTAACCACTGTGCCAGCAGACTGCCTTCTCCTCTTTTTAGGATGACTGATACATTTGGTAAGGGGCTAGTGGTAATAGTGAGCCCCCACTTTTATTCTTTAGCCACCCTACTTGCTCTGTTTATTACTACTTGGAAGATGCACTGATATCGCCAGGGGTCAGAGAAGCTATTTGAACCACTTGTGAGAAGAAGGCACTAAAATTTCACTTGTCACAAAAACTCTGGGAAGTAGGGATTATGAAAACTCATCATGTTGATGAGAAAACAGGCCCAGAGAGTTTAAGTTAACTTGCCTATGGTCCCATGGCCAGTGTATAACAGAACTAGGATGTGACTACAGATTACATGGTATCCATACTCTTTACACACTTTCTACTATATCACACTTTTAAAGTAACGTTATCACAACATTTCAGTAAGACACACCTATGAAACATATACGTATGAAGCTAGATGGCATGTAATTATGTAGGTATATATGTAAAGTTAGAGATCACATCTGTGAAAAAACCCTCCATTTTGCTGGTTATAGCTATGAAGATTCACCTCAATTATCAGTTGTTGTTGTTATGTGCCGTCGAGTCGGACTCGACTCATAGCAACCCCTCCTTGGGTTGCCGAGGCAGTATCACTACGGAAGTAGATTGCCCAACCTTCCTTCCGAGGAGTGGTTGGTAGGTTTGAACCCATAGCTTTTTGGTTAGCAGTCAAGTGCCTTAGGCACTATGCTACCAGAGCTCCTCAATTATCAGTAAGTGCTTTTTAATAGATACTCGTCAAATTTAAATATTATGGCTTCCTAGAGCTAGGAAGTGGCTTTTAAGCTTCCCGATTCTAGTAACAGCTGGATACAAAAGTAACACTCACCTAACATCTAGACTCTTCACCTCGTATATTCAGCAGAGTTAGACAGTAAATCTTTTAATGATACTAAGCAGCATTTCTTTTTGAAATCTCATGCAGGGTTTCTCATAACACTTCACACTAAAGCCTGCATGTAAGAGCTGCATTCTGTTTCATCCAAGGGGAAATCATTTTAAAAATGAAAAATTTTGTTTCACATCTCCATTGCTATCAGAAACTACACTCAAAACATTTTGCCTAAGGGAAAACATTATGATGGCCCAATATTTGATCAATTTTGCTTTACGCACAATGAGGTTAAAGACTGGGCAGATACTTAGCAAGATTCCAAGGAATAATAGGGAGAGTGAATCCCTGAGTGGAGCAAGCAGTTAATGCACTTTGCTGTAACCAAATGGTTGGAGGTTTGAGTCCATCCAGAGGAACCTCGGAAGAAAGTCCTGGCAATCTACTTCCAAAAAATCAGCCGCTGAAAACCCTGTGGAAGTCAGTTCTATTCTGACACACAAGGGGTTATCATGAGTTGGAATGGAGTCAATGGCAACTGGTTTAATGGGCAGACACACTCTAGTGCATTTCATTCAGGCATCCTCTTCACTTTAATCTGGCCTTTTTGCTTTTCATCTATACTCTAGTCCTGGCACAGGAGATACTTTTTTTTTGTGCAGCTCCTCCTATTTGAGGACTCCTTTTGGGAGCCCTGGTGGCATAGTGTCTAAGGCATCTGACTGCTAACCAGAAGGCTGGTGGTTCAAACCCACCAGCCACTCTTGGGAAGACAAGTTGAGCAATCTACTTCCGTAGTGATACCATCTCAGAAACCCAAGGAGGGGTCACTATGAGTTGAAATCGACTTGACGGCAATGAGTCTGGTTTTTGGTTCTTGTATCCAGGGGCTTGAGAATGAAGGAGACTTTTTCTTCTTTCCCCTAAGATTCACTCTTAGTGTGTAGCAAACTAATTTATTGGTGAACTCTAGAACTAAAAGTAAGTTATAGGAGGTAAAGGATAGTATTTTCTGCAGACTCCTATCTACTGTCATGGCCTAGCAATGTGTAATTTGGTAGACCCTGTCATCATAAGGGTAGAGCCTTTGGTCTTTCTGTATGCAGAACTGGTAATGCAAATTGCACTTTGTTTTGCTAAAGACTAGGACTCCCTAGTGTTTCAGCAAACTGATTGCTGAGCTGGTTTAAATGATGGCTCCTCTCATATTTCTTCTACAATTATACGATGCTCTGCTCTAAGGTTTTCTGCATAATGCTATTCAATAAAGGCATTTTCTACTATATATAGAGAGAAATTCCTCTAAAGTTGGACAAACAAATATTAATTTCAATCAATCAATCTAGAAATAGTTCAGGCAGTCTGAAAGTGTCATGAAATAGAAATTCATTCATTCATCCACTCAACAAATAATTACTGAGTACCAACAATAAGCAAGCACTGTCCTAGGAAATAAAGATAAAATAAAAATAAACCAAATGCCATTTAGTTTGATATACTATTTATTTATTTAGTTATTAATATGGACAGTCTACTATGCAACATTACAGATGTCTTTCAAAACCTATAATAAAATATAGTCCACTATCCAGCCCAGCAGAAGACAATAAACAAAAACATTCTTATAGTAAGTGTAGCATAAACACTCACATAGTCCCCTTTCTTGGACATCAAAGTGAACAGTCAATCAAAAGATTCTTTATACCTCCATTGGGGTTTTAACTTTCTTGAATTATAGTTGTCTTAAGAGTTCAACTTAGGTCACCCCACAGAGATGTGCAGCATCTCATGTTGGAGAGGAAGGAGCTTCTGTCACTTCCTTGGCTGAAAATGCTGTTGTTCTGCAGCATTCCATAATGGAGGCCATCTTGCCGTTAAGCCAGTAGTTGTCAAATTTGGGCATGGGGAGAAGGTTGGCGCATCACAGAGATGTTCTGATTAATTTAAAAAGATTGCATTTAGAAGTTCTAAAAATTCATTTGGTGGAAGTAGTGGCAGTGAAGAGCACACTATATTTCATCAAGGGAGTCTTTGCTATCTCTTGAGTCCTGGTTCTGCCATTCTCTCTTAGAGCCTTTAAAATCTTTTGCAGTTCTCAGTGGGAAAGTGGAAGTGTGAAGTCTAACACCTACTGGTAAGGGGTCATGAACTGGACTGGCTACTATGGCTTTTATAACCTGCTTCCTTTATCTACAAATTTATTTCTTAATCCCTTCTATGTCCTGCTAATTCTAATATAAGATTTAAAAGGGCAATGAATAATGAAACTTCTTGCTTTCAAACTGAATGATGAAAAATAGCAAATAAATTCATTCTCCAATGAACTATACTCAATTTCCTCAGTTGAAAACAAGTGCCAAGTGACTTTTAAAGACAAGGCTTGGATGATGCTAATTAACTGAAGGAAGAAGTTCTGAGGTGAAAATGCACATATATTAGAATCCAAAAAACAAGATGCATTAATCTAATAGGGGTTCTTGAACCCCTCAGTTTCACACTGAAAGCTACAAATGTTTTCAACATCAAGCTACTGATGACGGCCAATTAAATATGGAATCAAAAACCTCAGGAAGTCTTGACAAGTTTGTGGCAGTTTCAATATCCTACATAGTTAGGAAAAAGGAGAAACCACAGGGTAAAGAGTGAGAGCACTGGAAGTTGATTTAACTCTAGGTATCATAGGTTTGACCTTAGTAGGTAAGGTTAATGAATGAGCAGCCATAGAGGTTTTTTTTTGGTCACTGTGCTTCCTAAGCACCAAAAATGGAACTATTTTTACTATTCAATTCCATCTTTAATAAGCTAGACAGGTTCTGCTGCATTGTTGTGTTTCTAATTTGTCAGTAGATAATTATGCAGTTTACCAAGTGTGAGGAGCAAGTCATTATGTAGTACCAAGTTTACATCATTGTAGGGCTACAACATGCACATTCTACTTAATGTAGCTCAAGTAACGGGAATACAAGAGAACAGTTATGGGTGGAGACTTGTTTTGACAAATTCATGTTCACACTAACTATGGGTTTAGAAATCTTATTGGGCAAGTACCTATAGTAGTTCTTCAAGTGGTATTGGAACATCACATGCATGCACAAAGTGATATGGTAGAGAATGAAGCAGAAGAGGCAGCTGGATGGAGGACAAAGGGGCAATCAGAGAGGGGATGACGCTGTGTATCAGAGAGGGGCAGGTCTCAGCTTTCCACAGTAAGTCTCTGCTCTGTGAGAGAGGCTTGTTGGGCAACATTTTTGTTCTCATGACTGCGAAGTTTGGATACAACATCTAGAAAAGCCAAATCCTGTACTTCCTTGTGTAGAGATTCTGGAAGACAAAAATAAGATAGACATGCTTCTGTTGTTTGGTCTAATTTTAGTGTACAACCTAAAATATTTCTCAATATTTATTTTATCAGACGAGTTATTTAAAAAAAAGAACAAAAAACAATTCTGGAAAAAACACAGCAGTAGCCTAACAATGTCTTTTTATTTTTATTTATTTATTTTAACGATGTCTTTTTTAGGGTATATAATCATCATCATCAGAAAACCTTTATTTGCTATTTATATAAAGATGAATTCGATGTCAAGTTTTGTGGTGTAAGGTTGATTAGTGTAATGAGTTAAACACAGCTTATTGTGAGATTTCTAGGTTGTCTTAACTCTATAACCAATTCAAATAAAAAGTCCAATGACTTATGGCAAAGTCTCAGATCTACTCAAATTAATTTTGTGGAAAATTAAAATTTTACACTTCATATTCTTTCAACAAATTTCTGTGACACTAGGTTCCCTTTTAGGTTTCTTCTCCTGCTTCCAGCTCTCTTGCTCCATTTAACTCCAATTAAAGAAAAGTAAAGAACTCCTGTTAAGACTTTAAGAACTACTATAGGGGAACTCTGGTGGCACAGTGGTTAAGGCATTCAGCTACTAATCAATAGGTCAGTGGTTTGAATCCACTAGCTGCTCTGTGGAAGAAAGAAGACAGACTGCTTCCATAATGATTTACAGCCTTGGAAACCCCATGGGGAAGTTCTACTCTGTTCTGTAGGGTTGCTACTAGTCAGAATCGACTCTATGGCACTGGGTGTTTGGTTTATAGGGGAAGATTCAGGTCTAGTAAGTTTAATTCATTCAATCCACAATCCCCAAACTGATGTGTTTATTTTGGTAAGACTGAGTTACAAAACTAGGAAAAATCCTTAAGTGATTTAATGTCTTTTTCTAAAGTCTATGATGTAACTATTCTTTCATTTCTTTTAAACCTACATCAGCTAAGTGGCAAGAGTACCTGTATCTTAACTCTGTGTTCTGCATTTCCTGATTATTTGACTTGCACATTTACACTCTGCATTATCCTCATTCTCTCCTTTTTTAATATACGACTTAGTTTCTAACCAAAAGTATATTCGTTAGCATCAGTACAGCTTGGGCTTACATAGTTTTACTACATTCCCAAAGGTACAGGCTAGATCTGATTATAACAAAGAATTTTGTTAAAATTACTGTTTCTTGAAAGCAGACTTGAATACCCTAATTGGGCTTTCATGTCTCCTAATAAAGAGAGCAGCTACACTGAAAGCTCCTAAAGCAACAGGGCATATTTTAGGCAATTATCTGTTTATCTGTGTGAGTGCCTTAGCTTACCATCCCAACCCCTACCCTTCACAGTATCACCTTAGCTTGGTGACAACTCCTTTAGCACGGTTCAGGGGTCCATCTCATACCAATAAAAGGGGAATATCACTGGTTAGAGCATATACTTTTCAAATTAATTTTTATTTAATCAAAATAATACATGAATATAGTTAAATAGTATTAAAAGGTTTACAGAGAACAGCAGCAGTTCTCTGTTCCACAATAGTCTACTTGAAGTCCTGCAATGACTTGAAAATTTAGTTTATTTGTGCACATTATCTTCAACTTCCTCTTTTCCTATTTTTCCAATGCAATTATATCACAATTTTAATTAAACAAATATTCATTGTATACATTAAGACTATAAACTTTTTGTTCTCAGCTGAACCACTTACCACCACCAAACACAAACAAACAAATAAACCCAATGTCATCACACTGATTTTGACTTACAGTGACCCTGTAGGACAGAGTAGAACTGCCCCAATAGGGTTCCCAAAGGTATAAATCTTTACGGAAGCAGACTGCCTCATCTTTCTCTCATGACGTGGCTGGTCAGTTTGAACTGCCAGCCTTTCAGTTAGCAGCTGAGCAATTTAACCACTGCTCCATACAGTAACACTATATAAACTTTCTATTCTCAGATGAGCCACATAATATAGTATTATTACATTTTCTTACAACTATTACTTTTTTTCTGAAGTAAATAATTCTTTTTTATTGTTATGCTTTATCTTCTACATATTTATAATTAATTTCTCCCAAAATTGTATGACAGAGATATAAAACTCTTGGTATGGTCAAACTATCAAGTAATCTAATCTTTCTTCTTTTTGTCTCTCTTTCCTTCCCTTTTCTCTCTCTCATCCTTTATTTCTATTTGAAACACCTTTCCTGAGGCATCTACTCTAGATTTGATGTTTAAACTAGTTTCACATTAACCATAATTCTTAAATTCAGGCTTGAAAACATTTTCTTTACCAAAGGTACTCCAATAAATATGGTTATTTTAAGACTAGCACTCAAGTAGTTGCCAGGAAACTATGATGATATCCATGTTACTCCTTTAAAGTATCACTATCTAGAAGGTGGGAGCTCTGGTGGTGCAGTGCCTAAGGCATCTGACTGCTAAACAGAAGGCGGGCGGTTCAAATCCACCAGCCACTCCTTGGAAGGAAGATTGGGCAGTCTACTTCCGAAGTGATTCTGCCTCAAAAACCCAAGGAGCGGTCGCTATGAGTCGCATCTGACTTGACAGCAGTGAGTTTGGTTTGGTTTTGGATCTAGAAGGTAGACTATTGAAGGAGAGAGTCTAGGGGTCTAGGGGGGGGTTCTCTTCCCCTTAGCATTCTTGAATGTTTGGCCTTAGGTAAGAGGGCCAGATATTCTTACAAGGAAGATCTGGGTAATGATGATACATCAATTATATAAACTAACCATATGCCAACAATTCGGAAGATGGGAGTAGATATACTTATCCCTACTCCTCCCTCTGGTAGCATAGTGGCTAAGACACTTGCCTGCTCACCAGAAGGCTGGCGGTTCAAACCCACCAGCCACTCCTCGGAAGGAAGGTTGGGCAATCCTACTTCCGTAGTGATACTGCCTCGGAAACCCAAGGAGGGGTCGCTATGAGTCAGGGCTGACTCGGCACATAACAACAACAACAACAACTCCTCCCACTAAGTACAATTAAAAACCCTTTTATGTATTTAACACTACATAATCAACAAACATACAAGACAATGAAAGGTGGAGAAAAGAAGGCAAAATGGCTAGGGAACTAAAGAATGACATGGTGGTGAGTACTCTGGGCTTTTGTTTTGCCTCTTATATCCAAAATTTAGACTGTAAAAAGCTGGCAGCATGGAAATGCCAACAGTGCAAAGAAATAAAGCTCCAATATAAGCCTTCTCTCTTTAGCCAAAAAAGCACTAGTTTTCTAAAAGAGAACAAACTTTTAGACAATAACCATACTATCCCAAGTACAGAAAAAATTGTGTCCCCAGCCAAACCCACACCAGGAAGGCCATGGAGGGAAACTAGACTTCCACCCTTGCCAGGCTGTAACAGGCTACTCCAATCTTTCCCAGGAGCAGGACGGGGAATCAGACAAGGCTGAGAAGGGGGCTAGGATTTTCATCTGTCAAGTAAAGAGGCCCCACTCCCATAATATCTGTAGAGATTACAAGAGGGGCCTACATCTCCATGCCTAGTTTGCAGTAATGAGGCTTCTCTTCATCACTATGATGTCAGTGGTGGCCATATGGAGGTGCAGTAATGAGGTACTTCGACTCCTCCCCGCCAAGTAGGTGTCAGTGGAAGCCTAGTGGGCTGCCAGAATTCCTACCTCTATCAGCAATAACAAGAAGCTCCTCACCTCAGGTATCAAAAGAGGTGGAGTAGAGAACCCAATGTCTCCTACCTGGCACTAATTAGACAGCATTCCCAGCCCCCTTCCTGTGCTTTACAGATATCAAGAAAGCCAACTAAAATAGGTTTTAACTAAATTCATAGTCTTATAATACCCCCAAATCACTCATCATATCAAGAACCTAGAAGATCGAAACTGAATGAAAAACAAAACAAAACAAAGAAATCCACACCAACACACATCATAGTCAAACAGGTTCAAATAAGATCCAGAGTCTTACAACATAATACCCAAAATGCCCAGACTGAATAGAAAAATCACTTCTCATAAATAAGGAAACTCTAAACTGAGTGAAAAAAAATAAAGAAATTCACACCAAAACACATCATAGTCACACTTCTGAAGGCTAAAGACAAACATAATCTTGGAAATAGTGAGACAAAGGACACATTACTTACAGAGGGAAAACCATTAAAAAGACAATAATTTCTTATGAGAAACAATAAAGGCCAAAAAGAAATGGCACAACATTTTTCAAGTACTTAGAGGAAAAAAAAAATTAAACTTAGAATCCTACAACCAGGAAAAATATGCTTTCAGGAATAAAGGTGAAGTCAAAACAGTCTCACATGAAGGAAAACTAAGAGGACTCTTGTCACTAGCAAACCTACCCTTAAAAAAATGGCTACTGGAAGCTCTCTAAACAGAAAGGAAATGACAAAAAGAAAAAAAGAAAAGAATCTTGGAACAGAGGAAGGAAGAAGAACACAGTAAGCAAAACATGTAGGTAAATACACAATAGATTTTTCTTCTTGAGTTTTCTAATTATATTTGGTGGTTGGAATAAAAATTGAAACACTAATGTGGTTCTAAATGTATGTAGAAGGAAAATTTAAGGCATATTATAAATGAGACAAGGAAAAGGAAGCTAAATACTATAAGGTTTTTATACTTCATTTGAACTAGTAAAATGACAGACCAGTAGACTGTGATAGTATGTATATAAAATGTAATACTTACAGTAACCACTAAAAAAACTATACAAAATAATACACTCAGAAACACTATAAATGGAAATGGAAAATGTGGCTATACCAAAATGGAATTCTAAAAAATGTCTAAGCAACCCACAGGAAATCAGAAAAATGAAAACAGAAAAAAACAAAGAACAAACAGAAAACTAAATAGGAAACTACAGATTTAAGACATAATACATCAATCATTACATTAAATGTAAACGGTATAAATATACCAATTTAAAAGGACAGAAAGAATTAAAAAACATGACCCAAACATATGCTATTTTCAAATATAATGATACAGCAGGTTGAAAGTAAAAAAAGAAAAGCAGTAAAAGATCTATCATGCAAACTTTATCAAAATAAAGCAGCAGTAACTATAATAGTATCAGATATAATAGACTTCAGAACAAAGAAAATTATCAGAGACAGACAGGGACATTACATAATGATAAAACGGTTGATCTATCAAGAAGGCACAGCAATCCTAATATGTATGCATCTAAAACAGAGCTCCAAAATATGTGAATCAGAAACTAAAACAACTGAAAGGAGAAATCAACAAATCTACAGCTATAGCTGGAGACTTCAACACCTCTCTCTCAACATCTGATAAAATAACCAATTTGTTACATAACCGGCAAGGATAAAGAAGACCACCACCAACAACCCTATAAATTTTTAATAGAAATTTATAGAATATACCACCCAATGACAGCAGAATATATACTCAAATGCCCATGAAGCATAAACTAAGGTATGCCAATATTTCTAGAACAAATTCTTTAGTTAGTATAATACCATACAAAAACAAAACCTGTCATTACAAGAAAAAAAAAAAAATCATGGTTAATGAAACATATAGCTATTAGTTTCTTAACACTGATTTTTGTCTACATTTGCTATTCATGACACTTTTTATAGTTATAGTAAGAATCTTCTGTGAATATTTTCAATGTAAAAGTAATTATTTTTCATCATCAACTTATTTCTAACATAAAGCCAGCATTTACAATAGTAAAACCTGTGATAGCCAGAACCTATGTAGGGCAGAAACCTGTTAGAAGGACTACTCAAATATTTTCCACTAAAGAGAGTGATAGGAAAGTCGTAGGAGACTGCACTGTGTAAAAGGTGGAAAACTTGTGAGAATCAGAAAAACAAGGCAGTACTGTTGAGTTCTGGCTCTCACAGGTTTCACAGTATTATTCTATATTAAATATTTAATGTCAACGAAATGCTGATGGACATCAAATGATAAAATAAATACTTACCAGATCCCATGAGAGCACAGACAAGGACCATAGAATTATATTTGATTTCAGGAGCACTTCTCTCATCTGCTAGCAGTCTGTGTAAAATCTGTACAAGTTTAGCACTTTCTAGATCTTTCTCAGCAGTGCCTGATATATATGAAACAAATTAAGTAAAAGTTATAATCACAGTGTAGGAAGCTGGTACAATTGAAACACTGTTCCTTTTCTAAAATGTGACCATGTGAAAGCTTCCAAAAGAGACTGAAAACAATTTAGACCTCATGAATAGAAGAAACCCAGATAACAGCAGACATTTCAGGAGTTTGGGCTTAACATTCACCAAAACACAACTTCTTTTAATATGAGGCAATTAAAAAAACTTTATTATGGAAAACATTAAACATACACAAAAGTACAGATATTATAAATGATACCCAATGTACCTATCACCATCTTGAAGAATTATTAAAACCAGTCTTCTTTCATTCATCTCTCTCATCCACTCATTCTCATCCATCTCAAGTAATTTAGGAGCAAATCCTATAAATCAGATCATTTCATCCATAAATATTTCAGTACGTATCTTTAAAAGATAAGGACTCGTGGCTAAGGCACTTGACTGCTAACCAGGAGGCTGGTGGTTCAAACCCACTAGCCACTCCTTGGAAGGAAGATGGGGTGATCTACTTCCGTAGTGATACTGCCTCGGAAACCCACGGAGGGGTCGCAATGAGTCGGGTCCGACTCAACGGCACACAACAACAACAACAACAATATAATTCCTGTCAAAATTATAGTAAAGTTTTCTGTAGACATAGACAAGCTTATTCTAAAATTTAAATGGAAAGTAACAGGCCCTAAAATAACTGAAACAATCTTGACAAAGAAGAATAAAGTAGGAGGAATTACTGTGCCCTATATCAAAGCTTTGGGAGCAATGTTGGTTCACAATTATAAAATTCTCGCCTTTCACATGGGAGACCTGGGTTCAATTCCCAGCCAATGCACCTCATGTGTAGCCACCACTCATCTTCCAGCAGAGAATCGCACACTGTTATGATGCTGAACCAGTTTCAGCGGAGCTTCCACAGTAACACAGACTAGGAAGGCCTGAGAGTTTATTTCTGAAAATCAGCCAATGAAAATCTCATGGATCACAACGGTCTGATTCACAACTGACCGTGGGGATAGTGTAGAACTGTTCTGCTGTGCATGAAGTCACCATGGGTTGGGGACCAACTTCATAGAATTTAATAGCATATTAAAGGTCTACTATATACCTACATTTATCAAGACAGTGTGGTATTTGCAAAGAGGCAGACACACAGATCAATGGAACAGAACAGAAGACCCAGAAATAGACCCACACAAATATGCTCAAATGATTTTTGACACAGGTGTAATACTATGGAGAAAAGAGTCTTTTCAACAAATGGTGCTGGAACAATTAGACATTCAGGCAAAAATAAGTATCTTGACCTAAACCTCGTATCTTATACAAAAATGAACACAGACTTAAAATGTAAAATGATAAAACTTTTTGGGGAAAATAAGAAAATCTTTGGAACCTAAACCTGTTGTTATAGAGTGATTCTGACTTACAGTGACCATACAGGACAAAGTAGAACAGCCCCATGCGGTTTCTGAGGCTGCATTCTTTATAGAAGCAAACTGCCACATAATTCCCCTGTGGAGTAGCTGCTGGTTTGAACTGCTAATATTTTGGTTAGCAGCCCAGCACTTTAACCACTGAGCAACCAAGGTGCCCCTTTAGCACTTACCACTAAGAAGAGAGTTCTTCGAGTTGACACCAAAACCACAATCCATAAAAAGAAAATAATAATAATCTGGACCTTATCAAAATTTAAAAAATTTTTCCTCTGTAAAAAGCCCATGTAAGAAACTCTGGTGATGCAACAGTTAAGTGCTTGGCTGCTAACCAAAAGGTTGGTGGTTCGAAGCCACCCAGCAGCTCCAGTGGAGAAAGGACTGGCAATCTGCTCCTGTAAAGATTACAGCCTTGGAAACCCTACAGGGCAGTTCTACTAGGGTTGCTATGAATCACAATTGACTCAATGGAACCTAGCAACAACCAAAAGCCCATGTGAAGAGGATGAAAAGACAATTTACAGGCTGGGAGAAACTAATGGCAAACTACATATTAGAAAACAACTAGTATCTAGAGTATATACAGAACTTTCATAACTCAAGAGTTAAAAAAAACAAACAATCCAATTAGAAAATGGGCAAAAGATACGATAGACATTTCACTAAAGAATATATACAAAGAGATAGTAAATAAAATAAGCACATGCAAAGATGTTAAACATCATTAGCCATTAAAAAAAAAAAAAAAGAAAAAGAAAAGAAAACCAAACCTACTGCCATCTAATCGATTTTGACTCATAGCAACCTTCATTGCGTTTCCTAGGTGGTAAATCTTTACCAAAGTAGGTTGCCCCAAAGTTTTTCCGCAGTGTGGCTAATGGGTTTGAACCACCAACCTTCTGGTTAGCAAGTCAAACGCCTTGGGCACTGTGCCACCAGAGCTCCTTTTTATTAGCCATTAGGTCAATGCAAATTAAACCACAATCATTACATAGCTCTCAAGATAGGTTAAAAAAAAATAATAATAATGACAAGACCGTATGCTCATAAGAATGCAGAGAAAGCAGATCACTCATGTACTTTTGTGGGAATATAAAATAGTATAGGCACTCTAGAAAACAGTTTGGCAATTTCTTTAAAAAAATAATCATTCAACTATGATACAAACTAGCAAGTGCACTTCTGGGCATTTATCCCAGAGAAAGGAAAATTTATGTTCATGCACAAACCTGTACACGAATGTTTACAACAGCTTTATTTTTAGAAGCTTGACATTAGAATCAGTCCAAGTATCCTTCAACAGGTGAATGGTTAAACTGTGGTATATAACTTAAAATACTACACAGCCATAAAAAGGAATGTATAACTGATACGTGAAACAACTTGGATGACTCTCTAGGTTATTAAGTTGAGCAAAAAAGTCAATCCCAAAAAGTCACATACTATATGATTCCATTTACATAATTATTTTTGAAAAAGCAAAATTTTAGAAATAAAGAAAAGAGTGGCAACTGCCAGTGGGGAATGAGTGTGGGAAGGAGGCATGTGTGGTTATAAAAGTAACACAGGGGGCTCTTTGGTCTCGGCAGCAGAAGTGAGATGATGAAGGGAACGTCATTGTTTAGGGAATGTCATTGTTTAGATAGCGTCGCAGTAAGACGCACACACTGTGTTGCCGCTGTGGCTCTAAGGCCTACTATGTTCACAAGTTGACCTGTGGCAAATGTGGCTACTCTGCCAAACACAAGAGAAAGTATAACTGGAGTGCCAAGGCTAAAAAGCAAAATACCACTAGTACTGGTCGAATGAGACACCTAAAAATTATATACCACAGATTCAGGCATGGAATTCATGAAGGAACAACACCTAAATCCAAGAGGGTGGCTGTAGCAGCATCCAGTTCATCTCAAGGATTTCAACCATTAGTTGTGCAATAAATGCTCTGGTATTAATATATGAACCAAAACAGGTGATAACATTGTATGTAATTTATCATACACACGTACAAATGAATAGAAGTAAAACTGGGATTAATCTGAATAAGACTGACGGATGGACCATGTTAGTATCAGTATCCTGGCTGCAATATTATATTGGGAGAAACTGGGCAAAGAATACAAAAGAGCTATTATTTTTTTTTAACAAATGCATGCCAATCTGTAATTATCAAACGCACACAAAGAGGATAAGGATTCTTAAAATATCGTATTGTATTTTTTAAATTATATATAATTATCCCACAAAAATTAGAACTTGAGATCAAATAGCCAGTAGGAATATAAAGTTGGAGAAATGCAGTTTTTAAAGGATGATTTGTATTACAAAGAATGTAAAGATACATAGTCATTTTATAGAGTTTTATGGCATGGTAACCTAGGCAAATGTTCAAGTATTTGGAAGCTGATGAAATTATAGCTTGTGTGGAAGATACTAGTTATAAATGGCATAAAACCATATTCATCCCAGGATGGGAAGTAAAAAGTATACTGAAATTGATCCATTACTTTAAAGCCATTCAAAATCAGGCCATGATTCCAGTTTGGTATTAAATATCCTCACTGACTCTTTCATAGACTTCCCCTTAGAGGTATGTGGACTTCTAGACTGACTTATATAATCTACCCAAATCATGTGGGAGATGGTAACCGTAGGCTAGGCTAGGGCTAGAACTAATCTCCAAAGGGGTCACAGAGACCAAAGCATCTCTAACCACAACATCAAAGTTACTGTAACCAAAAAAACCAAACTCATTGCCGTTGAGTCGGATCCAACATTACTGTTGGAATAAATGTTCTTGAACTCTTGTATTTTATCTTTAATATCTCTGGTAATTAAGGTGGTGTGTGAACTTGGCTGGGCCATGGTTTTGAGTGGTGTGGCACCTGGATACAGTTATTCCCTATGAGACAGTAATCATCTCCATGGTGGAGTCTGCTGTGAGCACCTACATCAATTTAAGGAGAGTTGCCTTTGGGGTGTGGCCTGCTTCCACTATATATGGCAAAGCTTTGAGAAAGGTCTCTAGACTATATATGGCAAAGCTTTGAGAAAGGTCTCTAGCTTTCTGGCACATCTGGATCCTGCATTTGGCTGAGTCTTCATCTCTAGTTCCTGGACTTAAACCAGTAGCCTGCCATGTTGCCTACTGATCTTGGTACTATGCCATTTTACCTGCCGACCTTAGGTTTGTCAGCCTCAGCAGCTAGCAGCTGCCTGAGTTAAGAGATGCCTCCAGCTCCAGTGGGCCTGGAACAAGAGGCAGAGCTGATGCCCAAGGTCAAGGAGACTTTTACCCAGCCCTTAGAGCCAGCACTCTGAATTTGGCCTTCTAGCCTTCTAAACTGTAAGAGAATAAATTGCTGTTAGCTAAAGTCATCCATTGTTTTATTTATGTTACAGCAGCACTAGAGAACTAAGACAATATCCAAGTATATTTTATAACCTACTTACAGTATTCCTTTGACTTGTTAAAATTATAAATTGCTTTAAAATTTAAAACTCATTAAGAAGAGGAAAAATTCTTATCTTTCATACCTCAAATCTGAGTAAATCTGACACTAGAAGATGCATCAAATTTGATTTTTGGTTTCTCCTTGCTAGGATGGGTCTGCTTGTCCATTTGAGAATTATGGATATAAATCATCAGAAGGAATTAAGAGGTGATCAGTTACAAGATTTATTGAATTAGCTTTGAACTGATCAAGACATTGCCTATACCAAGTCTACAGTCCCCTTCTGTGTAAAGTGACCTTAGGCCTTAATCTGTTTCAGAGATTGGTTTCTGAATCAAAGGTTGCTGTACAAAGGCTAGATGCTTATGAGCTAGCATCTCATGAAGAATTCTTCCCAACAGGAATGCCCCATGTTAGACAGAAACTAACTGAATCAATTAGGCTCTTCTTTTGGGGAATTCTGAATGCAAAACACATGAAAGAGTAACATAGAAGCTGAGAATTCAGAGAGAACGCAATGCTACAAAGCAACAGGAATCATGTGTTAGAGAATAGGAGATGAAAAGAAATAATCAGTAGTAGAGAGAACCAGCAGAGATGGAAGAAAAAGGCTGAGTCACTAAAAGGGTAACACATTGCTATACCTGTTATTATATACCCTAAATACAATTTCATTTCTCCATGAAGCCCACTGAAAATATTTTCTGTACCTCTATGTTGTCTTAAAGTAAGTGGCTATAACTTAAAGTAATATTTTAAAGTTAAACTAACCCTAAAGTACTAAAAATGTTGCCAAAAAGCAAAACCAAAAGAAACAACTGTGATAATTATGGAGTATGATTTTCCATATACATAGATAAAGCTGCAGAAAATTTTTGTAAAATGCTTCCAATCAATTTTGTCTGACTTCTGTTTTACTCCTATGCTTCTTATCCAGATAAAAAGAGGAGGTCATTGAAGTACTTACCCAATTCTAAAGCTGCTATTAGTGCCAAAGCAACAAGGGCTTCATTCTGCATTATTACATGTTCACTAGTTGCCATGGAAACTAGATGCTTGATACCACCACTCTGTACAATGGTTTTAATTACATCCTACAATAAATAAATATCACAGAATTATACACTTTAATTTTGAACATAAACTGCATTACAATCACTAAAGTTATTGTTGAGTGATGTTCTGACAGTGTCTTATATGAATCTTACATTTAACCACTTTTTTATTTACAGCAGAAAAAGAAAAAGCTTCTAGTTTTAAATAAATTCTTCAAAGATGGCAACTTAAATTCTCTGAGTAGTAAAGACCATTGCAGTTCATATCCAGGGCAAGGAATACAGTCCTAGAAGTTAACAAAGCCAAAGAAAAATACCATTGCCCTAAATATTGACTTGCCACAAGGTGCACAAAATATGAAATAAAAAATGTTCTTTTTTAAAATTTTTCACTATCAGGTTATTATCCCCCAAACACTATGGGTAAAGTTTTTTTTTTTTTTTTTTTTTTTGGTAGCTTTTACCCCTTGGTTGGACCTGACAAATAAGAGAACTAGAATACACACACAAAGGGACTTGAGCAGAACTTAAATGAAACTTCTCTTCTCCTTCCATTTCCCATGGAATGTATAGCTCTCCATGGAATAGAAAGGAGTAGGGTCCAGAGGAATCAGTAAATCCTAGCATCAACATTTATTCATCATTGGCTTTGATCAGATCACTGAACCTCTCTGTACATCAGTGACTTCATCATAAAGCTTGAATAAAACTAGTGTGTATCTCCTAGATTTCTGATAATTTAAAGGCTACTACATGAAAAGCACTTATAATCAAGTCTGATAAAAGTAATGCAAAAACACTGGTCACATTTCTTTCTTTTTTTTTTTTTTTAAAGTTTCAACCTTTTTATTCAAAGCAGCTTCTCACAACGTATAAATACTGCTGCATGTCTGCACACCTGAAAAATACTTCTAAGGCACCCAGAAATGTGTTCATACACTTTACAGGACCATTCACAAAGAGAGTGTGCATTTTGCTCAAGACAGTTAACATCTGATAACTCAGAAGATTCTTACCCTTCAGTACTTACCCAGTCTCAGGAAATATTTACATTGTGGTGAGACGAGGTGAGCCGTACCTGTATTATAATTCTATGAAGTAACTCCTACTTACAAATATTCAGAACTAGTTAAAGACTCTCTCATGATAATCTGGTAAAATAAAATGAGTAGCCTAATTTGCACAGGGCTCGACGGATTTTAGTGTGTGTGCTATATCCCTGATCAAATCCAAATACTCATGTGGTGGGCTGGCTCAGTTTTTGGTAGCTTGCTTCATCATCAGAAGTTTGGCAGTAAATCTTACCAACAGAACGTAACTTCTTCAGCATCAATCATTTCTCAGTCAATGAATCAATGACTTCATCATAAACGAAAATGGAACATCATCTGGTGTGAGAAATGCTTCTCACACAAAACAGGAACTGGAATAGGTCGGTGCAGAATAAAAGGAGGTAGAAATTTGCAACTGTATGATCATACTACTCAGCATAGACACATCTGAAAAACTGACACTGGAGCTTCCTCTTCAGATGAAGTGGGCTACACTGACCAGATAACCTAGAGGAAATGCCAAACCTCCAATTTTTATTATATGGATAAACTCTGGGACTGCATGGCAGAAACACCTACATGAGATCTGTCTTGGAAACTCTTATTTCAGAGCCTTTTCAAAGTAACAACTAATTTCTCCATGTGGCCAACCAGGGGGAGCATGAGGCTGGCAGAAGTGTGCAGTTTCTCTGTGCCACAAAGCATGCCCATCTCTGGAGAAATGTGCCCACCATCCATGAAACTCATGCTTTGTTGGAATAATGGAATTCCTTGGTCCTTGGTTTTATGAAAGGCAATATTTTCACAATCCTGTCAACATGGAAATCAGCAAATGATAGCTGGGAATAATGATATGGGGAGAAATTAAATACTAGATGGAAAACTCTACAGTCTTCAAACTTTGCAGTTGCCATAATGAGCTCAATGAGGTCATATTTATTTCTAGCACTTATTTTTTTCTCTTCACCCAACTGAGAGTTTTATTCTTTTAAAACTCTTGGATTAAATATGATTTAGCAAAAAATCTGAATTATAGAATATTTTTAAAGTAATTATCTGTTGTTTGGTATTCTTAGATGCTGTTGAGTGAGATCAGACTTACAGCAACCCTGTTAAACCTATGTATAACAGAATGAAACACTGTCCAGTCTTTTGCTATCTTCACAATGTTGTTATGTTTAAGCTCACTATTGCAGCCACAATGTCAACTCATCTTGTTGAGGGTCTTCCTCTTTTTCTCTAACCCTCTACTTTACCAACCATGATGTCTTTCTCAGGGGCTGGTCCCTCCTGATAATATGTCCAAAGCATCTGAGAGGAAGTCTTGCCATCCCCACTTCTAAGAAACATGGTGGCTGTGCATCTTTAAAACAGATTTATTTGTTCTTGTGGTCCATGGTAAATTCAGTATTTTTTGCCAAAGCCATAATTTAAATGCATCAATTCTTCTTCAATCTTCCTTATTCATTGTCCAGCTTCCTCATGCATATGCAACCAAAAACCAACCCACTGCCACTGAGTCGACTCAGACTCATAGCAATCCTACAGTAAAGAGTATAACTGCCCCATAGGGTTTCCAAGGCTGTAAATCTTTATGGAAGTAGACTGTCTCATCTTTCTCCTGCAGAGTGGCTAGTGGGTTAGAATAACCCTTTTGGTTAGCAGCCTAACGCTTTAACCACTATGCCACCAGATCTCCGTTCATGCATATGAGGCAATTAAAAATATTATAGCTTGGATCAGGCACATCTTAGTCTTCTAAGTGACCATTTTGCTTTTTAACACTTTTAAAGAGGTCTTTTGCAGCAAATCTGCTGAATGCAATACATCATTTAATGTCTTGGCTGCTATTTCCATGGGCACTGACTGTGCATACCAGTTAAATAAAATCCTTCAAAACATCAATCTTTTCCTGTTTATCATAAAGGTGCTCATTGTTCCAGTTGTGAAGATTTTTGTTTTCTTTATGTTGAGGTGTCACCATCCACACTGAAGGTGGTAGTCTTTGAATTTCATCAGTAAGTGCTTCAAGTCCTCTTCAATTTCATCAAGTAAAACGATATTATCTGTAGTATACTGTAGTATATTGTAGGTCATTACTAAGTCTTCCCCCAATCCTGTTGCTGCATTCTTCTTCATATAGTCCAGCTTCTTAGATGATCTGCTCAGTATACAGACTGAATAACTAAAAAGGATACAACCCAAAAGCACACCATTCTTGATTTTAAACCACACAACACCCCCTTGTTCTGTTCAAACTGACTCTTGATCTATGTAAGGTTCCCAAGCACAATTAAGTGTTCTGGAATTCCCATTCTCTGTAATGTGATCCATAATTTGTTATGATCCACACAGTCGAATGTCTTTGCACAGTCAATAAAACACAGGTAAACATCTTTCTGGTATTCTCTGTTTTCAGCCAAGATCCATCTGACATCAGCAATGGTATCCCTTGCTCCACATCGTCTTCTGAATCCAGTTTCAATTTCTGGCAGTTCCCTGTTGGTGGACTGCTGCAATAGTTTTTTAATTATCTTCAGCAAAAGTTTACTTGTGTGTGATATTAATGATATTGTCCAATAATTTCCACACTCACTTGGATCACCTTTCTTTGGAATAGGCATAAATATAGACAAGTACCTTTCTTCTAAATTTCTTGGCATAGGTGAGCAGGTGCTTCCAGTGCTGTATCCATTTCTTGAAACATCTCAGTTGTTATTCCATCAATTCCTGGAGTCTTGTTTTTTTGCCAATGTCTTCAGTGCAGCTTGGAATTCTTCCTTCAACACCATTGGTTCCTGGTCTATGCTACCTCCTAAAGTGGATGAACAATGACCAATTATTTTTGGTATAGTGACTCTGTGTTTTCCTTTCATCTTCTTTTGAAGCTTCCTTCATTGGTTCAAACTTTTGCCCACAGAAACCTTCATTATTGCAGCTCGAGGCTTGTATTTTTTCTACAGTTATTTCAGCATGAGAAATGCTGAGTGAGTTCTTCCCTTTCGATTTTCTAAGGCCAGGTCTTTGCACATTTTGTTATGATATTTAACTGTTTTCTTGAGCCACCTAGTCCACAACTGGCCCATAGCCTTATTCTGACAGATGATAATGAGCTTCTCTATCATCTCTTTCCACAGATGTTGTCAATTTGATTCCTGTGTATCCCATCTGGTGAGTTCCATATGTATAGTCACCATTCACTTTGGTGAAAAAAGGTATTTGAAATGAATAAGCTGTTGGTTTTGTGAAATTCTATCACACGATCTCCAATGTAATTTCTATCACCAAGGCCATATTTTGAAACTACTAATCCTTCTTTGTTTCCATCTTTCATATTCTACTCACCAGTAACAGTCAATGCCTTTTGATTGCACATTAGTTTCAGAGTGCAGAAGTTGGTAAAAATCTTCTATTTCTTCATCACTGGCATTAGTGTTTGCTGTATACATTTGAAGAACATAGTTGTATTAATTGGTCTTCCCTGTAGGCATATGGATATTATCCTACCACTAACAGCTTGAAATGTAGTAAATTAATTGGTACCAATATCCTTTTAAAAAAGTATCTTGAAGTTAAAATATAATTTTAAAATACATTCATAGAGCTTCTTCAAGACATGTTATATGACTGCCTTGTGTATGGCACTAAAATGAATTTAATACATAAACTTTTGCATAGATCACAAATCGTTACGAACAAGGACCCTGAAGTGAAATTGCCTGGATCTGAATATTGGCCTAGTTACTTAACTTCATAACCTAACTGACTGTCAGTTTCATCATCTATAGATAGGAAATAACATATAACTAAAAGCTGTCTTCTGCGAAGAGCTGATATCTGTAAGTTACCCAGTACCATGTCCATCATAGAGATATTGCTCCATAAAGGACAGTTATTAATATTACCATAGTCTCCTTTCTGTCATTGCAAAAACGGCAAGGAGGCCACATGTTCTGACCTCCTCTAATCTCACAAGAGGAAGACAGCAGTAACCCAAGGCCTATTATTGCAGGGCCAAACATGCTGCCTCCCTCCAGCCCTTTCACCAACTGTTCCTCCCAAAGCACCCACCACCTCTCTCCTGGGTTCGATAATTCACTGCAGTGGCCACACAGAACTCACAGATTATGGGGTTTATTAGGGAAGCACCAGGCTACAACTCAAATTCAGGAAGAATGCTCAGTCTCTCTCCCAGCCCACCATCCCTCAGCCAACAGTCTCTCACAGTCTCTTTCCCAGCAACGCGTGTCTCAGGAGCCCATGTCTCTTTCAGCAGCAAGTCTTCCTCGACCAGCAGTCCGAGAGAGTTCTGCCTCCAGGAGGTCTCCTTTAGAGCCCGCAGGGTGGTCAAACTAGCCAATTATAGCATCAGAACTCTAAGCACCTGAGAGAAAGTGGGCACCTCCCAAAACATTGTTTTGTGCCACTCCCAACAGAAATACTCCAGGTGGACACCTTCAGCAATCAGGAGCTCCTCAGTTGCTCATAGCAAATTCCACCTTGGAGTTTACAAAGACTTATGGGTAGAAAAGCCACACAAAGTAATTTACTACACTGCAGTCATACGATATGCACCATGCTTTTTACAAAAATTTTTAACCCCACTGTATCAGGCAAAGTGACTCCACAGAGTCATATTCAATAAACACCTGCTGAAGGAGGAGGAACTTTTCTTTCTTTTCCCCCTGAATTTTATTTCTTGTTATTGAGAATATACACTGTTTAATACACTAATTCAACTGTTTCTACATGTACAATTTAGTGACATTGATTACATCCCCTGACTTGTACAACCATTTTCACCCTCCTTTTCTGAGTTATTCTTTTCTCATTAACATAAAATCAGTACCACCCTAAGATTCTTATCTAATCTTTTGAGTTGCTGTCATCAATTTGATCACATATAGTTCTTAAAAGAGCATAATGCTCAATGCAGACATTTTTTACTACTTAAGCTAAACTACTGTTTGGTTTTTAGATGAGACTTCAGGGGATATATTTGGTTTAAATTTTAAAGATTTTTTGAGGGCAACAGTTTCAGAGTTCATCCACCTTCTATGGCTCCAGAAAGTATAGAGTCCATGTGAATTACAAATTCTGTTCTATATTTTTACCCCTTTGGATCAGGACTCTTCCATGGAATCTGTGATCAAAATGTTCACTAACAGTAGCTGGGTACCATTCTAGGTCTTCCAGTCTCATGAAAAAGGAGGCAGTTGTTTATAGAGTTCATTAGCCACACATTCTATATTCTCCTCCTATTTCCAATTCTCCTTCTTCTTCTCTTGATCCAGGTGAAGAGACCTATTCCTGTGTGTCTTTGATAGCCACCTGAGGAGCACTTCCTTTTAAAAGGTAATGTGCAGGTATCGGGAGCTCTGGTGGAGGAGTGCCTAAGGCATTTGACTGCTAACCAGAAGACTGACAGTTCAAACTCACTAGCTACTCCTGGGAAGGAAGGTTGGGCGGGCAATCTACATCTGTAGTAATAATGCCTCAGAAACTCAAGAAGGGGTAGCTATGAGTCAGATCTAACTTGATGACAGTGAGTTTGGTGTTGTGTGTGTGTGTGTGTGTGTGCGCGCGCGCAGGTATCTGTCCCAGAAAATGGAACACTTAAGTGGAGTGCTATTCATTTCTGATATACAAATTTCCTTCATACATTCCTTGCTTTTCCTTCCACTATAGTGGACTGACTTTTCAGGATGAATCACAAAATAAGGGATGAATTGGCAAGCCATGGATCTTCCCTAGCTGACAGTATATCTATCTATGAATCTTCTGTTTTCTTTGTTTGATAAAAATTCTTTGTACTTTTTATCATATCCCTTACTAATTTAAATATAACATCAGTTTCTGAAAAACTGCAATGAATAAGCTGTATATTACAGTATATCTGGAAGCTTTTCTCAGAAAAGGGTTTTAAAGGATAGCTTTATCACTTTCTATAAAAGCCTGATAGGAGAAGATTTATTAGTTGCTAAAACACAGCCAATTATAAAAATTGGTACTTGGACTCTACTGAGATTCAGAATTTTTGATCACTCAACAAGTTTGAGTTCAAACCAAAGATGCTGTCTATGATTTTCTTAAAAATTTACGTTAAGATGAAAGCAAAGAGCATACTTTTTCAAAGACTTTAGCAAATTAATGGGAAAACGTTTCTAATTACAATTAGTTTTACATCGTTATCTAAGTTGGAGATATTAATTCTTAAAATATCCACCAGTTAAGTCAGATTACTAAAAATAGTGAAAAGTGGCAAAGAAAACCACCACTTGTGTCAGTCTCTCATACTGTGGTGGCGTGTGTGTTGCTGTAATGCTGGAAGCTATGGCATCAGTATTTCAAATACTAGCATGGTCACCTAAGGTGCACAAGTTCTAGTGGAGTTTCCAGACTAAGAAAGATGAGAAAGGGGGGCCTGGCAATCTACTACTAAAATAATTGGCCAATGAAAACTTTATGAATAGCAGTGGAACACTGTCTGATTCAGGGCTAGAAAATGAGCCCCTCAGGTTGGAAGGCACTCAAAATTTGACAAGGGAAGAGTTGATTTTAATGATATGGATGGAATAAAGCTTTTGGGATATTCACTTGCTTACACGGTATGACTCAAAATGAGAAGAAACAGCTGCAAACATCCATTATTAACAGGAATGTGGAATGTATGAAGTATGAATCTAGGAAAACTGGAAGTTGTCAAAAATGAAATAGATTTTAATAATGTGGAAGGAGTAAAGCTTTTGAGACACTGATTTGCTTAGGTGGTATCACTTAAAATGAGAGGAAACAGCTGCAAACGTCTATTATTAACAGGAATGTTGAATGCACAAAGTATGAATCTAGGAAAACTAGAAGTTGTCAAAAATGAAATGGTATGCCAAAAAACGAATATAGGAATTACTGAGCTGAAATGAACTAGGGATGGCCATTTTGAATTAAATAGTCATACAGTATACTATGGTAGGAATGACAAACTGAAGAGGAAGGACACAAGCTCTTTGTTTAAAAAAAAAAAAAAAAAAATCAAGATCTATTTTGAAGTACAGTGCCTCACTGATGGGATGCTATCCATATACCTACAAGGAATACCAGTTAATATGACTATTATTCATTTTTATGTAATATACACTAATGCCAGTGATGAAGAAATTAAAGATTTTAACCAACTCCTACCATCTGAAATCAATTTAATATGCAATCAAGATGTACTTACTGATCATTACTAGTGATTGGAATGTGGAAGCTGGAAACGAAGACTGCATGTTTGGTCAATTTTAGACTACAGAAGTTGGTAAAAATCTTTTATATCTTCATCTTTGGCTTTAGAGGATGGTGTGTAAATTGGAATAATAGTAGTACTAAGTGATCTTCCTTTGAGGTATATGGATAATTATTCTATCACTGACAGTATTGTATTTTAGGATAGATCTTGAGATGTTCTTTTTGACAGTGAATGCAATGCCATTTCTCTTCAATTTGTCATTCCTGGCACAGTAGATCACATGACTGTCCGATTGAAAATGGCCAATATCAGTCCATTTCAACTCACTAATGCCTAGTATACTGATCTACATGCATTCCATTTCATTTTTGACAACTTCCAATTTTCCCACATTCTTACTTTGTACATTCTATATTTTAGTAATTAATGAATGTGTGCAGGTATTCCTTCCCATTTTCAGTCATGCATGCCCCATCAGCAAATGAAAGTCCCGAAAATTTTACTCCATCCACATCATTAAGGTCAACTCTACCTTAGGGAGGCATCACTTCACAGTCTTCTTTTGAGTGCCTTCCAGCCTCAGAGGCTCATTTTCCAGCACTATATCAGACAATGTTTCACAGATATTAATAAAGTTTATCAGTGATATATCAGACAATATTTCACTGCTATGCATAAGGTTTTCAGTGGCCAATTATTTCAGAGTTGATGGCCTCATCCTTCTTTCCAGTCTGTCTTAGTCTGGAAGCTCCACTGGAAGCTGTCAATCATAGGTGACATTCCTGGTATTTAAAACACTGGTGGCATAGCCTGCAGCCTCACAGAAACATGTAAGACACCGCAGTTTGACAAACTAACAGACGAGTATTGTTGTTAGGTGCCATCAAATCAGCTCTGACTCATAACAACCTTTATATATAATAGAAGGAAACAATACTGGGTGCTGCGCCATCCTCACAATTGTTACTATGTTTGAGTTCATTGTTGATGCCACTGTTTCAATACATGTTATGCAATAATAAAAGTAAATAATAAAACTCAATTTTCAATCTTTTCCCTCAGAATCACTGATTAATGTATTTATCTCTTTGGTAAGGCATTTGACAAAGGTCTACATGGAATTCACATTGAACAATATACATAAATACATAAAAATGCAAGCTCAGGATATAGGATCTAGGGTATGAGGTTTTCCAAAAGGTCACTCTAATGTATAGTGGCTAAGGCACTTGACTGCTAACCAGAAGGCAGGTGGTTCAAACCCACCAGCCACTCCTCGGAAGGAAGGTTGGGCAATCCTACTTCCGTAGTGATACTGCCTTGGAAACCCAAGGAGGGGTCGCTATGAGTCGGGGCCGACTCGACGGCAAACAACAACAACAACAACAACAATGTTTACTACTGAGCAGTTTTCTCAGGAACTTACCTTTGATTTACTGTGTCGTATGAGAGCAGACAGCAGTCTGTTGGACTCTCCCATCACACCAGCATGGTCTTTGGCTTCACACCATTCCACCAAACGCTCCACTAATTTAACATTTTTTCCCAGTTGTTCAGCAGCTTCTGCTATAGGAAAGAAGGTAATCCACAAAGAAATGAATCACTGATAGGAAATCAACAGAAATAACTGGTAAAGATATAAGGGTGGAAGAAAATTCCACAGCTGAAAACCACAACCAAACAATTTCATTAAAGCAAGAACTACAAACATTACAAATCTGATGGACTATTTGGCTTTTTCAGAACTTTAGTTATGAACTTTCATACAAAATAAAAAACAAGTCACTTTATATTCCCTCGGGTGAACTAAGTAGTCTGTTAGTCCTCTGGCAGACAGTCACTAAATGTTACTTAAGGACTCTTAAGTTATCAATATAAAGAGGAATTTATAATTTAGAAATAAATAAATAAGCACACACACACTTCATTTTCAGTGAATCACTTTGTAACATGAATGAAGTTGGAGGACATTATGCTGAGTGAAATAAGTCAATCACAGAGGGACAAATATTGTGTTGAGACCACATTATAAAGACTCAAGGAAAGATTTACACAGGGAAGGAAATTTTGTTGGTTATCAGGGAGGGGAGGAGAAGGGAAGGGAGGAAAAACAGATGGCCAGTCAAGAGACAGCTTTTATATGGTTGAAGGGAAAAGCAATATAACAAAAGTATGTGACTAACACAGTATCACTAAGGAAAAGGAAGACATAGAGAGGTGTACAAGAAGTACAGATAATAAATGCAAATACTACTGCACACACAGTACTGAATTATCAGTAACAGTAAACAGTACTCTATGGGTAGACACACAGGTAAACAGGCAAGAGATCAGGGATGAGTGAATGGGAATATATCCACGAACACACATAGGTCTGGCAGACGATATTCCTATATATGCATTTGTATGTGCCATAAAAATGTTCATATGCAAGCAAATGTTGATCTATGAGGGGACAGATGGGTGGAAAGGCTGAACAATTAGGTATGTTTATGCAGAGGGGAATGTGCCCATGACCATGTATAGGGGTGGCAGACAATGTTTCTACAAGTGTATTTGTAAGAATTTCCAGGTACATAGTAGAGCTGACAAGGGACAATGCTGTAGTCACTTCTTGGCCACAGCCAGCTATCCAGAGGGAGCAAGTAGTTGGACCTGTGGGCACGGGACTGTGGTTGCAGGGGACATCAAGCTCAATTGGCATAACATACTACACACAAACATCGTTCCACATTCTACTTCAGCAAGTAGCAACTGGGATCTTAAAAGCTTGCAAGCAGCCATATCCAGATGCAACAATGGATCTCTCCTTGTCCGGAGCAAAGAAGAATGAAGAAAACCAAAGAGGTATGGAAACAATTAGTCCAAGTGACTGGTACACCATGTGATCCTCAGCGTATATGACTATGAGACCAGAAGAACTAGATGGTGCCTGGCTACCACTGTCAACCACCCGGACGGGGATCTATGTAGGAGATCCTGGAAAGAATGGGAGAACAATGTGGAACATAACTCAGAATCATAAAAAAAAAAAAAAAATAGGAAGCAGGTTTGCTGGTCTGATAGAGCCTTATGGAACCCTTGAGACTATGGCCCCTAGCTGCCCTTCAGGTCTGGAACTGAACCCACTCCTGTGGCTTCCAGCCAAACAAAAGACAGGTATATGAGCTGAACATTTACATTAGGTAGATATACTCCATGGAGAGATTCAATCATGGGAGAATAGAAGGGCAGTGTATGCACAGGAAGACAGCTCGGTGGGGGTGGGTAGGCAGGAGTCCATGGGAGGGAAGGACACAAGGAAGAGGTAGCTATGGGGAGGAAGTGGGAGGAGAACTGTTGCTTTGTGGGAAATTGCAGTCAATGTCATGAGACAAGTGTATATGAGCTGCTGTATGGAAAATGAATTTTGTCTGTAAACTTTTACCCAAATCATCATCATCATAATAAATATATCCATATGCAGTTTAAAGCTAATAGGAGGCAAAGTTAGGTTAATTTCTCAGTCATAACTAGTACTTTGAGGGAGTGAGTTGCTGAGCCTGCAGGCTGGGGTCCATGGTCACAGAGGACATCAAGCTTAATTGGCTTAACACAGTATACAAAAATACTGTTCTAAATCTTACTTTGGTGAGTGGTGACTGGGATCTTAGAAGCTTGTGAGAGGCTATCTAAGATGCTACTACTGGTCTCTCCTCTTCCAGAACAAGGAAGAGTAAAGAAAATCAAAGATGCATGGAAACAGTGCAAAGGACTAATGGACCATGAGAATCTCAGCCTATATGATGCTGAGACCAGAAGAACGAGACAGTGCCTGGTTAGCAGTGTCAACCACTCAGAAGGGGATCAAAATTGGAGATCCTGGATAGAGTAGGAAAAAAATGTGGAACAATCAAAATCATAAAAAAAGACCAGAATTACCGGTCTGACAGAGACGATGGGCCTGAATCACCCTTTGGGCCTGGAATTGAACTCACCCACATGGCTTAACTCTAAGCCAACCATAGGCCAATGTGTTGAACACCTACATTAGGGAGATGCACTCCTTAGAACAGTTAACCATGGGAGATCAGAAGGGAAGCATTTGCACAGAAAGGCAGGAAGACAGGAATGCATAGGCAAGAAGGACACAGGCAAAGAGTAACCATAGGGAGGAAGGGGGAGGAGAGCTGTTATACTGCAGGGAATGTAACCGTGTCACAAAACAAAATGTGTATTAACTGCTGAATATAAAACGAATCTGCTTTGTAAAATTTCACTCCAATACAAAGGTTTTTTTAAAACAAACAAATAAAAAGATTTACAGCCTCAGAAACCCTACAGGGCAGTTCTACTCTGCCCTACAAGGTTGCTATGAGTCGGAATTGACACGATGGCAGTAGGACTGATTTGCTTTTGGTAGTAATTATAACTAGGATGGTTTAAAATATGGATAGCAGAGCGTTTGAGTAAAGGATATTAGCATCCATCTTTCGAGAGTACAATTCTTAAGTTTCACATCTGTATTGCAAAAAAAGTCATAAATTAAACCTGTAGTCAGATTGTTTTTGAGACTCATTGCTTTCCATCCATGCATATTTTTATCTTGAATAATTTCATGAGATTTTGAAGTTGGTGATTATTTATTCCTATGCTTCACACTTTCTTCTTTGTTCACTATGGATATTGTTGTATACAGCTTCTAAGATGGCTCCCAACAGTCTACTGCCCGGTGTACATACCTATGGATTGAATCGTGCCCCCCAATAAAAATATGTATTGGAAATCTTGAAAAAGAGAAACTAAAAGAAAAAAAAACCACCCACTTCATTCCAATGAGTGGTTTTCACCGCTCTCTCTGTGAATAGAAAAATGCTTTTCCTCTTTGCGAAATTAATTAAAAAACAAAAATTTCACTGTCACCGTATTAAGGCAAGACGATTTTAAAGTCAAAGTAAAAATGCAATTGAATGCCAAAACAAAATTCTGGAATAGTTAATAAAAAGCCAACACCATACTAAGCTCACTGCCATCGAATAGAGACCCCAACAGGGTAAGGAAGCTGACCACCTCATCTTTCTCCTATGAAGCAGATGGTGGGTTTGAACTGCCAGCCTTCTGGGTTAGCAGTCCAATGCCTTAACTACAGCACCACCAGAGCTCCTTAAAACCACACTAGTTGCTGCCCAGTTAATCATGACTCATGGTGACCTCATCAATTTCAGAGAAAACTGAGCCCCACAGGGTTTTCAATGGCTGTGATCTTTCAGAAGCAGATCTCCAGGCCTTTATCCAAGGCACCTCTGGATAATCTTGAATCGCCAACCCTTGTTTAGGAGCTGAGCACATATCCATTTGCAACACACAGGTATCATAAACCAAGCTAAAACTGGGATTGAGGTACAGTACAATTTCCATGTAAAGTCAATTACAAAAGGCATGGGAACTAATGAAGGGGATTCCAAAATCAATCTCTTTCCCCCTTCTATTTGTTTTATCTTTATGACTATATAATTCTAAAAGCTGAAAACAAGTTCTTTTCCAAGTAAAGGTATATTAAGACTATGAAAAATGAAACTTGGGAAAGCTTTTATTTTACCTTGTGCATCTATTAACATTCTTAATGTTCCCAGAAGTTTAAACTGAACTGGAGGCATTTCAGATTTAAGGAATTTCAAAACTGCCTCTGTGACCCCAGCTGATAACATCTTTGCTTTATTTACAACTAGAGAGAGAAAGAAAGAGAAACGATGGTTAAAATGGTATTTAGCATTCTTGATAATAAACATTCAGTTCAACACATATTTATTGAATGTCTACTATCTGTATACCTGTATTATACTAAAAATACAAAATCATACTTCTAGCTTTATAAAATGTATTATCAAAACATTTAGTCAAATAATCTGAAAAGGGTATCTGAAAATGCTGTATTCTAATTCACAAAACACATAATTTTTCAGCTTTAATAAACACTTCCCTTTATTGCTATCCTTGATCCAACTCTGTTAATATAGATGTTATAAACATTAATACACAATATTAATTTGCTATATAAATGAGAGATATCATTACTAATGTCAGATGGATCATCGCTAAAAGCAGAGAACACTAGAAAGATGTTTATCTTGACTATGCAAAAATATTGGACTGTATGGATCATAACAGATTATGGATAACACTGCGAAGTGTGTGAATTTTAGAACTTAATAGTGTTCATAGGGAACCCATACATAGACCAATAGGCAGTGGTTTGAACAGAACAAGGAATATTCAGGGTTTAAAATCAGGAAAGGGTATTTCAGTGTTGTATTCTTCACCATACTTATTCGATCTGCATGCTGAGCAAATAATCTGAGAAGCTAGACTATATGAAGAAGAGCATGCTATCAGGATTAGAGGAAGACTCATTAAAAATCTGAGATATGCAGATGACCCAGCCTTGCATGCTGAAAGTGAAGATGACTTGAAGCACTTACTGATAAAAATCAAAGACTGCATTCTTCAGAATAGATTACACTTCAACATAAAGAAAACAAAAATCCTCACATCATGATAAATGGAGAAAAGACTGATGTCAGAGATTCATTTTACTTGGATCCATAATCAACACTGATGGAAGCAGCAGTCTAGAAATCAAAGAACATATTGCACCAGGCAAATCTGCTACAAAAGGCCTCTTTAAAGTGTTAAAGTTTGAAGACAAAGTTACGCCTGACACAAGCTATGGTCTTTTCAACAGGCTCATAATCTATGAAGTTGGACTACATGAAAAAGAATGTAGCATCAGGATCAGAGGAAGAATCATTAACAACCTGCAGACTGTAATTGCAATTGCAGATTACACAACCTTGCTTGCTGTCAGCAAAGAGGACCTGAAGGATGTACTGATGAAGTTCAAAGACTACATTCACTATGGATTATACCTCAATAAAAAGAAAACAAAATTTCTTAACTGGACCAATAAGCAACATTATGATAAAAAGGAAAAGACTGAAGTTGTCATGGATTTCATTTTACTTGGATCAATAATCAATGCCCATGGAAGCAGCAGTCAAGAAATCAAGGGACATATTGCATTGAGCATATCTGTTGTAAAAGACCGCTTTTTAAAGTGTTAAAAAACAAAGATGTCACTTTGAGGACCAAGGTGTGCCCAACCCAAGCCATGGTATTTCCAGTCACCTCATATGCATGCGAAAGCTGGACAATAAATAAAGAAGACCAAAGAATAACTGATGCCTTTGAATTACAGTATTTGGAAAGAATATTAAATATACCATGAAGTATTAGAAGAATGAATAAATCTGTCTTGGAAGAAGTACAGCCATGATGCTCCTTAAAAGCAAGGATGGTGAGACTTTGTCTCATGTACTTTGGACATGTTATCAAGAGGGATCAGTCCCTCGAAAAGGACTTTATGATTTGCAAAGGGTCGAGGATAAAGAGAAATGCCCTCAATGAGATAAACTGACATACTGGCTTCAACAAAGGGCTCAAACATATCAGTGACTGTGAGGATGGCCCAAGACTAGGAAGTGTTTCATTCTGTTGTATACGGGATTGCTACGAATCAGAATCGACTTCATGGTACCTAGCAACAACATCACATGAACCAAAATGAATTCATATGGATTGGATCTTAATACAGTCACATGTATGTGTGTATTCAGAAATTTAGATTTAGAAAGTAGAATAAAAGAATAGTTTTAACTATCTTCTATATTATTTCTCATGATAATGTGATCACATTATTCCAAAGCCTTTAATCCAAAAACACACATGAAAGCAATTTAAAAGGCTGTACATCTGTCTGTAGAAAACAGTTTAAAAAATAAATTTTTTATGGCCAATGCTAACTGATGCTACTATCACACCTCAACTGAAGATGCTTACAAAAGCTTAAATCAAAAAGGTGAAAATCCAAGATTTTACAAAAGATAACAAAACAGAATATTTGAATAATCTGAACAAAGACTAAGATTGTGCTTGCACAGTTTCAGAAAACTTATTTAACACATGATCTCCAATTATTCATTTAAGAAAATTGTAAACTATTTGAAGATTTTATTTTTTTCTTTTTTGGTCACAGATGTCAACTAATCACACACAGTAAATACCTTGCAACACAATAGATTTCATTTCCTATATAGCTGCCTCCTACTTTCAGTCTTACCTGGAATGGCCAGGTTTCTGAGAGCACTTAGCGCTGCATGCTGTACAGTTACATTTCCGTCTTCCACATGTCTGTCCAATAGATCCATAAGTTTTTCTACAATTCCATTGTCTACCATATGGATACAATTTCCATCTGAACAAAACAAAAGCACTTTTTGTTACTGCTCTTTGAAAATGTCTGTAAGTATGTTATAATACTGACTCTCCTGTCTATTATCTGGGAGCTCTGGTGGCGCAGTGCCTAAGGCATTTGACTGCTAACCAGAAGGCTGGCAGTTCAAATCCACCAGCCTCTCCTCAGAAGGAAGGTTGTATAATCCACTTCTGTAGTGATACCACCTCGGAAACCCAAGGAGGGGTCACTATATAAGTCGGACCTGACTTGATGGCAGTGAGCTTGGTTTTGGCTTGGTTTGTCTATGATCTACAGTAGACAAAATGAAGTTACAGAAAAAGCTAATTCTATTACTGTCTGCCAGCAAAATGATAGACTTTTCTGTTTACTGAAAAGTCAAATCATATACATAAAAAAAGATAAAATTCTAAAAATCAGAAATCCCTAGTAAACAGCCTGAAGATATGTCAGAGGATGAATAAGTAGAAAACACAATGCTTCAAATGTCCAACAGTTTTCATCTATAGTGAAGCCTGCTTGTGTTCTGTCAATGTTAATACAGGTAGGTACATCCCACTTTTTGAAAGTTCACTTTACCCCACTTCACTTTTATGAAAGATCTACATTAGTACCTGTTTTAGTTAACCAAAAGGAGCTCTGGTGGTGTAGTAGTTAAAGCATTTGGCTGATAACCAAAAGGTCGGCAGTTTGAACCCACCAACCACCCTGCGGGAGAAAAGATGAGGCAGTCTCTTCTGTAAAGATTTACAGCCTTGGAAATGCTATGGCACAGTTCTACTTTGTTCTATGTGGTCACTATGAGTAGGAACTGACTCGATGGCCGTGGGCTTGGTTTGGTTAGCTAACCAAAAGAAATATGAAGAGGATTTTTGCTTTTATGAAAAGAGGCAAAAGCAAAACTAGGGTTTGGCTGTTAAAGACATAGAATGCACCCTGAATAGTGAGAGTGGTATTGCCAAGCCCCTTCCCAGGAAACTACACTTAGCACCTCAGAGTTAAGCCATCATAGCTTTGAACTGTATCTGTGAGCACTTTGTGTTAGTGTTATTATAGGTTTTATGTGCTATTTGATATGATTTTGGAAGTTATTTTTTAGCTCTAAGAATGCTCAAAATTTTTTCCCATATAAATTAATAGCAATTGCTTTTTCACTTTATACCATATTGACTTACAAAAGGTTTTATAGGAACACTCTACTTTTGGATAGCAGAGGAAACCTGTATTACAGTAATAGTATTTCACATTCTGTAATTGTGTATTTATTTTGCAGTGAAATAATTTACCAAATATTAACAAAGAAATGAGAACATTATAACGAACTTACATGTATTCCTCATCTACCTACAACAATTATCCATATTCTCAGTCTTAATTCCATTATTTTTGACTAACATGAAATCAAGATGATCCACAAAAAAGAAGCGGTAAAAATGGGCTAAATAATCCACTAAAATATGCTACACTAATTGTTTTAATTGGAATGAAGTCAAATGAAAAACAAAAATAACCCATATTTCTTAGACATAGTACTATAATGAGTTTTTTGACTTAACAGCAGGATGCCAGATTTCAGAAATAAGCATAAAAGCTAACTTTATTAAGTTAAACCAGAGGATTAGCCACACTGAAGTCTTTTAGGAATGAAAGTATAAATTGAGGCACAACTATCCTAGAATGAATACACAGATTATTAAACCCGAAATGAAAGCACTAGGCAAAATAGCACAGCCTCCCAGATCAGATGTCTATTAAAATGAGACTCAAGTTGACTAAGCTTGGGAGTGCAGAATACTCAAGAGAAGTACTTTACAAACATTTTCTGTAATATGGTTAAACTGCTAGAGCTTAGCAAATATCAGAGAATATGTAATTTACTAAAAAAAAAAAAAAAAATATTTAAATTATGTCAGATATCTGAAAAACTAAGACAAGAACACATATACATACTACATACACTTCTGAACTGTTCCAGTTTTAGTATATGTGATGTTAAAACAACCAAGCAATATAGAATACCTGATTTAAAAATCAATGAACTTACCATTTCTGGCAAAATTTGCAATTGCCAATGCTCCAGCAAGCTGTAGCTGGTGGTTATTGGATGGTATCCAAGAAAGCACCTTTTGAAACACATTGCCTTTTCCTCCTTCAAATAATTTCTGCATTGATTCATCTGGAGGTAAATGAAACATATAGTTAAAAAGAGAAAAATAGTTAAAAGTAACATCCTCGTTTCTAAGTGAAAATCCACCTGGGAAACTACCTACCTCCTCATATACTATAAATTCATAAGGAGAAAAGTAATGGTTTGCTTTACAATAAACTTCAGTAAAAACTAGGCAGTAGCTTTTAAAATTCTTTTAGTCTAATCACACTGGATATTCTGACAAGCAGGCAGCTAGCTGGTATCTGAAGAGACAATTAAGTTTCCTCTCCTGCATGCTGCTATCCCCCTCAAGCTCGCCTTGCTAATAAGCAGAAGGCTTTCCTTCTATTATGTGAAATTTGTGCCTTTTAGTAATTTCCATTAGTCCTAGGTAGGTCCTTTGGTGCCACAGCTGTTTCTTTCACATGACAGCTCTTCAAATATTGGAAGACAGGGAAGACTCCTCTTTTTCAGGTTTATAATCTCTACTTTTCTCTATAATGGTATGTTGAAGGTTTCAAAATCATCACATCAACAGGATTAAATGGAATAGCAAAGTAAGAAAATACCTAGCACTAGGTCTACAGAGGGAGCTCTGGTAGCATAGTGGCTAAGACACTTGCCTGCTAACCAGATGGCTGGCGGTTCAAACCCACCAGCCACTCCTCGGAAGGAAGGTTGGGCAATCCTACTTCCGTAGTGATACTGCCTCGTCCCAAGGAGGGGTCGCTATGAGTCGGGGCCGACTCGATGGCACATAACAACAACAACAACAACAGGTCTACAGAAGACACTTAACCCATTTTTAAAAATCTGACAAGCATGCTCTTAAGCTACCACAGAAAACAACTCACCTCCAAGAAGCAGTAAAACCATTAGATCTGAAGCAGTTTTGAGCTCAGCAATATCGTCCTCTTTGTCACTATCCACCTTCTGCTGAACAATCTCTAGTAGACATTCTACCAGGCCTGCTTCAACCAGCTGTAGCTTAATAGCATCTAAAGAACAATGCCAACAAAATAACCCAAATTTGAGGTGAAATAGGAACTCCAGTATAATAAGCAATCCATTATAAAGAAAGACTAGAAGAAACCAAGAAAAATACATGATTTATATAACATTCCTTGGAAGATTTTAGTTTCAAAAGGAAATATCTGACAGTGCAGCTTACATACATAAAAAGCTTTATGTCACTTTTCTATTTGAAATTATGCCGACATTCACAGTGTCTCACAGCACCTAAATGAATCGATTCTCAGTTTAGAAGGCATGTAACATCACTTCACTGTTAAGAGAGATATTACTTTCATTTTAAAAGGCAATACTGTAAAATACTCCACAGCCATAAATAAAAACCAAAATCACTGCCATCTAGTCAATTCTAATTCATAGTGACACCCATTGGTTTTCCAAGGCAAATCTTTACAGAACTAGACTGCCTCATCCTTCTTTTGTGGAGTGGGCTGGTGGGTTTGAACCACTAACCTTTTGGTTAGCAACCAAATGTCTTAACCACTACACCACCAGAGCTCCTTAAAAATATTCTATAGTAATTTTAAATAAAACCACATAACATCTGATATATGAATTACAAGATACTCACAAATGAGGCTTGAAATTTTTATCTGCTACGAAAGTATTGAAAAGTAGAGCTTTATTAAACTTCAATCTATACCATCAACATATTTGAATTCATGTATGTATGTATGTATGTCATTTTTCCATGATACCTAAAAAATCTGTAACTTTATTAACTTTTAAAGTCACGTTTTTAAAAAGGGCTTCATGTTTTTATTAACTTGAAACTTTGAGAGATGGTACATGATGGTTTATTGTATTACACCCTCTCTACCTTTAAGAATGTGTGAAAATTCCATAATAAAAATTGAAAGAAAAAATTGTTTAAGCTTTCTGATGGCTAACGAAAAAAATAAAGAATTTTAGACATAATTCACATTCAAATAAGATTTAAAGAAATTATCTTCACAGCAAACTCCACTTGTACATCAAATCAGTTTTTAATATACTTTTCATATCTTGAATATTTCTTATTATAGTATCAATTTCATTAATCTTTTATCGTGATACATCTATAACAGATCATTTGCCACTTCAATATTTTTAAAGTGTAAAGTTCAGTGACATTAATTCATTTATTATACTGTGCAACTATCACCACTTTCCATTTTCAAAATTTCCCATAACTCTACAGAGCAGCTCCGTGTCCCCAAAGCAATGACTTGCTTACCTTCCTCTCTATCCCACCTGTGGTAACCACTAACAAATTAAGGTATTTAAATTTGCCTATTCTTGTTACTGTTAATTGTCATCAAGTCATCTCCTACTAATGTCAACCTCATGTACAATAGAACTAAATGTTGCCCACTCTTGTACCATCTTCCCAATTGTTGGTACGCTCAAGTCCATTGTTGCAACCACAGTCTATTTTGAGTGTCTTCCTACTGAGGAGGCTCATCTTCTAGGGCTATATTTGACAGTATTCTGTTGTGTTCCACAAGGTTTTCACTGGCTACCTTCTGGAAGTAGATTGCCAGGTTTTTCTCCTTAGACTGTTTTAGTCTGGAAGCACCACTACGGGTGACATCCTGCTATTATTATTCCAGCATCATAGCAATATACAAGCCACCACAGTATAACTAACTGACGAATGATGGTTGCCTATTCCAGGTATGTCAATATTTCATGAGTGACATGATATTTTTATTTGTACTTTTGTGGCTAATTTTACTAAGCTGAATGTTTTCAAGGTTCATCCATGTAACAGGATCTATCAAGATTTCATTTCCCTTTATGGCAGAGTAATTTTCCATTTTATGTATGCAACAGATTTTGTTTATCTATTCATCTGTTGATGGACCTGTAGGCTGTTTCCATCTTTTGGCTATACTGAATAGTGCTGCAGTGAACACCGGTGTATGTGTATCTATGTGTTCCTGCTATCATTTCTTTTGTGTATATAACTACAAGTGGAATTGCTGGGTCATATGGCAATTCTATGTTTACTTTTTTGAAAAATAGCCAAACTGTTTTCCACAGCAGCGGTACCATTTTGCAGTGCCACTAGTAATGGAGGAGGGTTCCACTATTTCCACATCCTTACTGTGATAATTAAGGTTGTGTGTCAACTTGGCTGGGCCTGGTGTTGAGTGGCAGGGAAGCTGGATGTAGTTATTTCCCATGATAAGACTCACAATCAGCTCCATGGTAGAATCTGCTGTAAGCGACTCAGTAGCCGCCTTGGGGATGTGGTCAGCTTCCAGTATATAACAAACTTCCAGAAACGTCTCAAACTTCTGGGCACATCTGGATCCCGCATTTGGGCAAGTCATCAGTTACTCGCCTATCATGTTCTCTGCCAATCTTGGGACTGTTTCTGGACTTGAACTAGTGGCTTGCCATGTTGCTTAATAATTTTGGACTGTGACATTTTACTTGTTGATCTTGGGTTTGTCAGCCTCAGTAGCCAGCAGGTATCTGAGTTGAGAGGCCTCCAGCCCCAGTAGGCTGAGAGCAAGAGGCAGAGCTGAAACCCAGGGTTGAGGGGACATCACTTGGGCCCTAGTGCTGGCACTTTGAACTTGGACTTCTAGCCTCCTACACTAAGAGAATAAATCCTTGTTTGTTAAATCCATCCATTTGTGATATCTTCTGTTAGAGTGGTACAAAATAACCAAAACACTTACCAACACCTCTTCCTATTATTTTATATTTATGATAACGAGGGTGAAGTGGTATCTCACTGTGGTTTTGATTTCGATTTCCTTAATGCCTAATGAAGTTGAGCATCTTTCCATATGCTTGTTGGCCATTTGCATTTCTTTTTAGTAAAATATCAATTCAAGTTCTTTGCCCACTTTGCAACTGGGTTGTCTTTATGTTGTTAAGTTGCAAGAGTTCTTTATATATTCTGATGTGTAACTCTTATCCAATACATAGTTCCCTCTATTTTTTTCCCCAAATCTGTAGGTTGCCTCTTCACATACTTGATAATGTTCTTTGATGAACAAAACTTTTTAATTTTAATAAATTCCCATTTATTTACTTCATTTTTTGTCGTTTGGGCTTTTGGTGTCAGATCTAAGAATCTATTTTTAAGTACTAAATCCCAAAGTATTACTGCTATGATTTCTTCTAAGTGTTTTATGGTTGAAGTTCTTACATTTAGGTCCTTGATTCATTTTGAGTTGATTTTCATATTGGTATGAGGCAAGGGTACACTTTTTTTTTTCTCCTAGTTTTTTATATGGAAATCCCTATTGTCCCAGCACCATTTATTGAAGAGACTATTCTTTCACCACTGAATGAACTTAGCATCTTTTACAAAAATTAGATATGCAAGTTTTTATTTGGATTCTCAATTCTATTCAATTTGTCAATGTGTCCATCATTATACCAGTACTAGACTGTTATGATTACTATAGCTATATATAGTATATTTCGAAATTAGAAAGTGTAAGTCTTCCTACTTTGTTCTTTTTCGAGATTCTTTTAACTATTCAGTGCCCCTTGTGCTTCCGTATGTACTTGAGGATTGGCTTTTCCATTTCCACAAAAGCCAGAAATGGCTGGTGTAATTTCTGATGGGAATTGCACTGAATCTATGGAGTACATCTGGTAACATGGCATCCTAACAATATTAGATTTTCCAATCCATAAACCCAAAATGTGCTTCTGTTTATTTACTGTTTGTTGTTGAGTCATCTTTAATTTCCTCCAGTAATGATTTAAAGTTTCCAGTCAAGTCTTACACTCCTTTGGCTAAATTTTTTCCTTTTATTCTTTCAAATGCTACTGTAAATAGGATTGTTTCCATAATTTCTTTTTCAGAACAAGATGTATAAAAACATAACTGATATTTTATGTGTTAACTTTATATCTTGCCACTTTGCTAAATTAGTTTACTACCTCCAGTTAGTTTTCTTATGATTCTCTGTCGCTTCGTATACATAGAATCTATTTCCGGTAAGACGGTGGAACAAGCAGAAAAGCTACACAGACCCTTTTCAATAAAGAAAAGAGAAACCAATTGACAGAGATCCAAAAGATAATCCTGGAGCCCTGAGCTTTGAAAGGAAGTATACAGGGTGGATTAGGCACCAACTAGTGGAAAAACTTAAACAAAACCAGTGAGTACGGCAGTTAAAGCAGTGAACTGTCAGCTACTCTGACAGGATTAACAGCCTGAATATTTGCAAGCAGTACTGGGGCCCTGATAATTGACCTAAAGCTCAGCCCCTGTTGCCAAGGGCTGCAGGGATGACTGTGCTAGTCGCCTATGACTAGGAAAGGAAAAAGCAAGGAGGGAACAAACCTGAGCTGTGGACTTTTGGCTGTCTGGAGGGCACAGCCATTTTGATTGTTTACAAGTGATGGCCATTTTGGGTATTTAAAGTGACTGAGGGAGCAGCCATTTTCAATGTTTACAAGTGACAGCCATTTTGAATGTTTACAATTGATGGCCATTTTGGATATTTAAAATGCCTGAGGGTACAGCCATTTGAATCTTCACAAGTAGTGGCCATATTGGATTTTAAAGTGAAAGCATTCTTAATCAAGATTCCAGGGACCTAAGAATAGGCTCCATTTGCCAAGGATGGAAGGGACATACGGGAGGCTGACAACAGGAAAGGAGACAGGTGGTGAGTATATAGTGCTTCCAACTAGCCAACAGAGGAGCACAGTACCTTGCTTACACAGATAACATCCAAACAAAACAAGGAAAACGAAAATAATGGGCAAGTCCCTCCAACATACAATCACCAATTAAATATAAAAACAGAAATATCACAATGTCTTAGAGAATCACAATCCACACAAAGAAGCAAGATAAAGCAGGAGAAACAAGGGACAGGGATACAGACCCAAAACACATCCCTGAGGAAGCAGCATTGGAACTCCCTGATAAGGAATTCAAAAGAATTATATTTAGGTACCTTCAATGGCTTGAGAGACAGATCAAGGAAAACACTGACAAAAT